TGGCTCAAGAGGCGGATCTTTCATACAACATGGTTCCTCTTCAGGATAAAAATATCTTTTATGTAGAAAAGTTGATCAAGAAATATTTTGTCCCCAAGTTACAAGATTGCTGTCACGTAATTATTATTATTTCACTTAAAAATTCATTTTTTCTCTGTGATTATTGAACAGCCGAAACGACAAACTACTATCCCTTGGTTCATATAAAACGAGCGTTTGCCGGGAGCAAAATACGTCTGGGAGCATCGAATAACGAGGAAGTATTGCTAGAAATTGCATTTCTGGCTTGCACAGCGAATTGAATTTATTTGAAAAAACTAAATCCGTTTGGCAATAAAAATTTTCAATCTCGGCGCACGCTTCGCATGTTTGACACAAAAAAATGATTTTTTTGCCATAAGTAAGACTTGTTCGAGAATTCTGCTGTTTTTTCCTCAGTGTAAATTGATCACCATAATGAGGAATTGACACAAAGCGCATTTTCATCGGGTAATATAAATGAGACGGCCCAGTAAAAAATTCAGAAAAAATCAAGTCCGTTACGAAGAAGTGTTGAAAAATTATGAAATATTTTTTCAATAATTTTTCAATTATTAACCCTTCCGAATTTTTTAATTTGTGCATTGTTGATTATTTAATTGTTTCCCTTATATAGAGGGTCGGAAAGTCAATAGATGGGATATAGGTTTGACCGAAAAATAGCCCGGGGATAATACAGAGTATGAATATACCGGTCGACATAACATCTTTCATTGTAATTAATAACCCTGGTAGAGCGATTCGACTAAAAGCGTCCAAAACCAAGTGACTTAACTAGGGGTAATGACTAGAGGGAATCCGTATTTCCATTCAACAGTTTAAAATAACATCATCCTTCTCCCAAATTTCAAATAGACTACCGGCGAGGACAAAAGATTTTTCCGTTAATTACATAATAGCCTGAAAAATAATCGAACACAAACATTTATGCTCGTAATAACTGATTTCATAATCCCTCGTACAATAAACCTTTCATAACACGCACGAAAAAATTTAATAGAAAAACCTATCGAATTTGTTAGAAAATTCTATTGAATTTCTATTAAACTTTCTATTAGTTTTTGGCATTCTATTGGCATGTTCAATAGAAAACATTCAATAAATAAAGTCAACAGAATTCGATTTTTCTATATACCTTATTCTTTTCATATATTTTCTATAGAATTTTCTCGACTCAAATATTCCAAGTTTTTTTCATTCTATTTTTCTTTTCTTCTCATCAAGAAAATCAAACGAAAAAACTTGGAAAATTTGAGCCGAGAAAATTCTCTAGAAAATATCTCAATAGAATAAGTNATAGAAAAACCTATCGAATTTGTTAGAAAATTCTATTGAATTTCTATTAAACTTTCTATTAGTTTTTGGCATTCTATTGGCATGTTCAATAGAAAACATTCAATAAATAAAGTCAACAGAATTCGATTTTTCTATATACCTTATTCTTTTCATATATTTTCTATAGAATTTTCTCGACTCAAATATTCCAAGTTTTTTTCATTCTATTTTTCTTTTCTTCTCATCAAGAAAATCAAACGAAAAAACTTGGAAAATTTGAGCCGAGAAAATTCTCTAGAAAATATCTCAATAGAATAAGTGATACAGAAAAATTGAATTCTATTGACTTTTTCGACTGAATATTTTCTATTGAACATTTCAATAGAATCAGACAAAATCTACTAGAACAGTCCAATAGAAATTCAATAGAATTTTCTAACGAAATTCGATGGGTTTTTCTATTAAATTTTTTCGTCCGTGAACTCTCCTGATACTAGCTCAACAGGAAGTTATTTGCTCACGTAATATATGTTCACTACTGATGCAAATGATCACAGTAATGCGGGGCCTCTACTGCAAGCTACATCCAAGCTAAATGTAGATTTACTCACATGAGCTTTTCCTATAATCTCAAGAATTTCCACTCCAAAGCCAGATGGATATGCAAAATAAAATAACAGAAAGTAAATTGAGAGAAACAGAATCCAAACAAATGCACTCGTTTCGCCTGGGATCTCCACTTCACATTTTATCCACCGCGACTATTTTCAAACTCCCGATTAGTATAGAAAAATCTGCTCAATCTGTATGTTATCGAAATTGCGTTGCGATGGGAACGTCACGGTTGTTGAAAAATTGATGAACCATTGAGAACGGAGATCAACCCGGAGGGGCATCAACCGGTGCCACTGTCGTGGACCAAAACACACGGCTTGCCAACGAATACAGGGGGATTGGTCCACAGACCAGAGTCTCGGTGAGTTCCGCGTGTTTAAGTTCCCACAGTCGCTAGCTCACTAGTAGACTCATAGAACTTGTATACACCGCGTCTGCGTCGTCAATTCCCGCAAGGCTCAACCCAGCCACATTGACTTTTACGCGATTCTCCCCTTCGCTCCCCTCCACGTCCCTCCACTTACAGTGTCCGTCGATGCGCATTGGTGAATTTGCGGAAAGTGTTCTTATACAGCTGGTGCATTTGTTGATTGAGGAAATTTATTGATCCCCCAGCGTTGGACAGCAAAAGGAGACTTTCGTCTTTTGTTAACAGAAACGGGTGGTCTCGAATAAATTTTTTTGCAACGATTTCCATTTTATTAAAATCAATCAGAAAACTCAAGTTGGGAGGTTGAAGCCTGAGGAAATATTGAGTTCAATTGAGTAGACAAGACTTTGCAGATTATCTTGTATGACTTTCTGAAACTGATTCGCGCGCCCATTGACGTTTGCACGATGATCTTTCGCATTGCGACATTAAATTGGATTGAAAATCAAATTGTTCGTAAATTTATAGCTTATGTTGATTATTCAAGGAAATGAGTTTTTCGTACTGAACATTTTGTAGAGACATTTCAATGAAAACTCGAAAGTAGAAAATATTGATTGCGCCCCACTCCTCTGGGCCCCCCGCCGCTGAGTTCACAATGAGGGGAATCTCTGCTCATTCATGTAGATCAAAAGCAATTGAAATGCAGATGTTTCCATTCTGCCGGGCGCCGAAATATGGGAAAATATTTGCTGTTTCAATTTTTCTCTTCGGAAATTTCAGTTGTTTCTTTTGTTTACTTGAAAAAAAAATTAATTTTAATTATTCGCGCTATTTTAATGCTGATATTGAGGATGTATTACACCCTTTTCGCCAAAATTCACGTTTTTGCATTTTTCTGGCAAAATTTTGATCGGATTGACGTGAAAAAATATACCGTTTTTGCGATTTATCATTACTTCGTGACTCACGAAATTTCATGATCGTGCAATAATTTTCCTGCGTCTTTTCTAAAACTTTTTGGAAATTTACAAAACTTTAGAAAAAATGCAGGAAAATGATTGCTCTACCATGAAACTTTGTGAGTCAGTCAATAATGATAAAACGCAAAAACGGTATATTATTTCGCGTCAATCAATAATTCGCCGATCAATAATTTGCCAGAAAAATAAACAAAACGTGAATTTTGGCTGAAAGGGTGTAGTACATCCTTAAAACGTTAAATCTCTCGAGTCCATACATGGATGCACCAGATATTGATTTCAAGAGAGTAGTTAATGGTTGTAGTACTTTGATCACTTTGTGGCATAAGAAAAAATTCTTGGACTTATGACATACAACCCACTGAAAATTGAAGTTTGTGAAATGCCTAGAATGCATGTGCTTCCCAAAATTCATAAACTATCGCTTGCTTTTGGACCGGTTGTCTTTTCCATTGATGAAGCGTCACATGAGTTTGGAAGCTACATTAGCAAAATTTTTAGCACCTATGCAGAATAACTGTGAATCTCCCGTAAAAAATAGTTTGGATTTTGTTAAAAAAATGGAGAAAGCAATGAAATCTAAAATGGTATATTTAATATCCAGGGATAGCCAAATTCATAATGTTAATTAAATATTATGAATTACCGTTAAATATTGTAGCCATTAATTGATTAACATCACTCTTGTGACGTATCGAGATACGTCGGCATTTTAATTAATAAACAAAATGATGGGAAAAGAAATATGATTTCGTTCCCATCATCCGAGAGCAGAGTAAGCACCCTCACGGTGTCATCGGAGTCCAGCTTCTTAGCAAAAGAAGCTGTTTGACTGTTATAGTATGTGTCAATGATGAGACAAATGTGTAGTAGTTGAGTAAACCGTGAGAATGCTTAATTTTCAATTTCGAGTCTTGAAGCTTTTTTTGGACTCCTTTAGAGTTAGAGTACGTTCGGGAGTGAAGCTGGACGGTCATCCCAGCTCCTCCATACTTTAGCGACGCGTTTACTGAACCCAATAGTAAAACAGTCGTGTATCTTATTTCTTAGTAATTAGTGAAGAAACGTATAGGTTTTAACAATTAAATACGCGAGTGTTTTACCTGAAAATACCTTCTCAATAATCCTAACTATTCCCAGTTCGAGTGCATCTCACGCGAGTAATAGCCGGAGTTTAGGGTACGACGGCCCTACTGGAGGAAAGTGTATTGTCAAACATTATCTATTTGTGACTAGTCCCTGGGACTAGATCAAATACCCAGTACGATCACAGTAGATCACCCAGGATTAATGCGGTAGGTGATCTAATTCGAAACGTCACACTCGTAAATTTTTTAAGTACTCAAATATCATCAATTCAAATATTCCAATTTTTAACTATTTTATCAATCGATAATTAAGGCAGGAAGATTGATGATTATTCGTGTAATCGAAATTCCCCTTTTAAGAAATTTGAATTATTCACTTGGTGGTAAGTTTACATTTTCATATTAACAAATTTTAAATACATAATTATTCGAAAAAAATTAGATTATTAATATTATATTATTTGAAAAATTAGATCAACATCTTTTCAACCTTCATTAATGTAAGGGTCAAATTCTTGGAATATTACAGAAATTTAATATTGATGGCGATCCCTGTTAATATCGCAATTGAATTTTTCGATTAATAAAAAAATAAAAATGAATATAGCGTACGCGCATTTTTTTATTTACCTTGAGAAGAAGTGAAGCCGAAAATGATAAATTTATTTCGTGAGTATTTTGGATCATGAAGCTATTCTGAAGGAGAAGTTTCCACGCCATGGAACGAAGTTAAATCTTCTTTCCTGGTAAAAATTAGAAATGAAACGTAAATTCAAGTTGATACTAAGCTTCTTATCAATTTAAAAAGAATGAACGTAGGAGTATATGAATATTCACCTCTGTCGATGGTAAACTCCATTCACTGTAAGTATCCTGAAGATTCTCCTCTCTTTCAGCCTGATAACTCAATTTCGCTGGTCGCCACCTGTCGTATATAGCCACAAAACAGGTGGGTATGAGACAAATTGGCAGAATAATTATTGTCAAGAGCCAGAATGTTGGAGACATACAGAGTTTATAAAATAGCCAATGCATTCCTCCACTGAATTTTCTGGAAACATTCGAAATGAGTTATTTTTTAAAGATGATTCAATACTCAACTGATATTAAATTTTTCATCACACTGTCCGTAAAACGTCGTTTTATGACGCGATTTTTCTCGCTGATATTGCGGTGGATTCGCTGGGCGAATCGGAATTTTTTCTCTCTAAATTTCAATTCTATTTTTTTTTTTTTTGACGAAGTGTCCGTCAAACACCGTTTACGGACATTGTGAAGAAAAATTATGTTCATCACTGGTCGGAAAACTTTTTTTCGGCGAGTTGTGACGAACATAGCTATTTCATAATCAATCGCACGATAGAATCATTAAAAACACTGATATTTCTCGATTATTGGGACTCTACATCGTTGCACTCTGACTGCAAAAAAACGTCACTGTGCAGTCAAGTCAAACCTTAACTACAAGAAGCTGATCGTGTGGTTCACATCTGGTAACAGAAAGACCACAGCGACCACGTAACATCTGGAAGTCAAAGTTGATGAATGAAAATTTGATTACATCAAACTGCTGGTTATCTTTCTGTGAATACTCTATTGGGTAATGAATTTTATATTCACGTGATTTCCTCTAAATTCTTATCAGAATTATTCCCATAAAAAAACGTACAGCTCCGCACCCGCATGTCGCGGTCACCGAAGTGTTAATATGTGTAACTGAAAAAAAAAATCTTCTCATCTTTACCTACAATTCGAATGAACAATTTTGTACAGTGGTTTTTGAATATACTGATACCGAAAAATCGTAATCTCGAACATGAACATGATTAGGATTATTGAGTGAAAGGCTATTATATTATCCAGTAGAGATCAATTCAAATCCAACCGAAAAAATCGTAATCCTTACACGGAGAGAAAAATTCAATAAAAACTACCAGAAAAAAAAGTAAAAATTATGTTTCGAAACGTAATCCACGAGCGAAGTAAAATTCAATAAAATGTCAGTCGGAACTGAAATTGTATGAATCGCCACGTAAATTCTACGATTTGTTCCGTAAATATTAATAACTCGTCTGATGACTCACCACTGTGGAGACAACAAGTCGTTCCGTAATTTTACCCCAGCGATTGAAAATAAATCACAAACTTTATAAAAATTGGTGAACGTTCAAAATTTTTTGACTTTGGTGGCATAATGAGTCGGAAAGGTTCTGTAAAATTTTACGTCTTCGGGAAAAATTACGTGACAATTTCATACTTTGTTCGGTAATGAACCTGAAAATTCACTGAACGTTTCAGCTTTTTCCAGCTCTTCCATTCCTATAAAAAATTCCGGAAAACGATTTCCCATTCCCGATTACATGAATTGTTCCGTAAATTTGCGATTTAATTTTTCCAAATGTACTAGTCCACGAAATGTTAGCCACGTATAATGATTGTTCTTATTTCCATGATATTAACCAGTACAAGAGAGGTCAGGGGATATTGTCGAAATAATTACGACGTGGATTAAATGGTCATAGTGTGACGTTTCACTAAATTATTTTAGCTTCATCATGCTCTTGACGGCAACCTACGTCTAGTCCAACTATTTCTGTTAATATTAGTGTCGGAATACATAATGCAAACAAATAAACAAACCATGAATAAACAAAAAGTCAGCAAAAACATAGGATTAACCAAACGCAAGAAAACAGGAGGTTTGGCTGCTTCTATGTTTCTGCTGACTGACTTATTTGTTTACTCATATATTTTGTTAATTTGTTTCCACATTATGTGTTCCACCACTAATGTCAACAGAAATAGTTTGACTAGACCTAGATTGCCGTCAAGAGCCTGATGAAGCTCAAATAATTTAACGAAACGTCGCACTATGATAATTTAATCAACGTCATAATTATTTCTCCGATATCCCTTGATCTTCCTTATATTCTACCGAACCTCCTGTCTTCTTGTGTTTGGTTGATCCTATGTCTGTGCTGACCGACTTTTTGTTTACTCATATGTTTTGTTTATTTGTTTGCACATTATGTGTTCCGACACTAATATTAACAGAAATAGTTTGACTGGACGTAGATTGCCGTCAAGAGCCTGATGAAGCTAAAATAATTTAGCGAAACGTCGCACTATGACAATTTAATCAGCGTCGTAATTATTTCTCCGATATCCTCTGACCTTCCTTATATTGTTAACAAAGTATATTTCGGTAACTTCACTTCTAATAATAATAATTCCCCCCCCCCTCTCCCTCTCTAATAATATGTTAGTCATAACAACATTTATCTTTTACTCACGGATCCAGAGAAGAATAACAAAGTGTCATTACGAAGAAGGTAATTTCCGAGAAAACAATACTAGCAACAAACGGAAAAGTCCAGAAATAACTCCGCAAAAGGATCTAAAAATAATCCAAAAAAAAAGGTAAATTAATAGTAGTAGTCTGCCTACCCTTGTCTTTCATTGTCAATAAAAATATTTTTCATGACTTTAATTACTGGAAATTTATGGACGTACCTGTAAATTAGTGACTAGAGTAACGAGATGAAAGATACAGGTCCCAAAGCCGTCATAACCGGCGTCAGTATTGTCGTACAGATTAATAGGATTAATCTGCCAAAAGAAGTAGACACCGAAGTAAATCACAGAAGTCTGCCACATAGCTGCAAACGGAATTGCAATCATATGTAATTAGTGGCGTCCCTACAGGAACATGAAATACCAAGTTTGTCAGAATTAATTACCTGTGGAGAGCCAAATGATTGTCTGATAAATAGACAGTAGATAGTTTTTTTTGTTCAGTAAATAGTACTGGGAAAAACGTTTCAAAGTTTCTGCTGAGTAATCTTGCTCGAATAGGCCAAACATCAGGACAGGGAGAGACGTAAAAAATAAGTTGAAACCCATGAGAAAAATACTAGAATAGAGAGCCTAAAAGAATAAGAGGAATCCATTAGCAAAATATGAAATTGTTCAAATAAATAAAATAAAAGTGGAACAATTGCTCAGAACATTGACGCATTCTCACATTTATCCACACGAGTATTACAGGATCAGAGTTGATAATTGATTTTGTGAAATCTGAAATATCTAGGGCTGAGCGTGAGACTTGGTCGATACTTCACATTAGAACGTCGATTCGGTCTAAAAAATATGGTGAACTTTGCTATCGCTTCGTCTTCAGACGATTCCGAGACAATCTACCTCATTTTTGCCTCAACTTTCCCTCTTATCGACTCAGTCTCAGCCTCGGTTTCTCCACATCAAAAATAGGTAAAGAAAAGGTCGAGATGAGATCAATTTTCTCGGAATCATCACGAGACGATTCGATACTCCGTCTTTGGAAATCGAGACGATATAAAAAACTTTCATATTTTCTTTAGAACGCGTCAACGTTCAAAGTAAAGTCTAGGATGAATCTACACTGAGAGAAAAACAACAAGTTCTCAAATAAGTCTTGCTTGTGCCAAAAAAATTGTTTGTTAAAAATTATCCAAAAGGATTTTTTTGTGCCAAACATGGGAGGCGTGCGCGGAAAATGAAAATGGTTATTGCAAAAATTGATTAAGTCTTTTCAAGACAATTGTATACGTATTTTGCTCCCGGCAAATGCTCGTTTCCATGTGAAACGAGGGATAGTAGTTTGTCATTTCGGTTATTCAATAATCACAAGCAAAAGTTTTTTGCAGCAATATTAGGGGAGGATGGGGCAAAACGGTCCCCCTTCAATCGTCAATATTTTCCGATTCAATAATCCGATTGGGATGAGTTAGAGCTCGTTTTGAAGAATGAAAAATTATCTTCGAAATGAGGTTGAAACTGGGAATTTTCACAATGTCATTCACAAGTTATTGACAATTGAAAGGGGGCCGTTTTGCCCCACCCTCCCCTATAACTTAGGGACAAAATATTTCTTAATAAACTTCCCCCTATAAAAGTTATTGTTATCCTGAAAAGGCACCATTTTGTATGAATGATCGGCCTCGTGAGCGAAATATTTTGTTGTTGTTGAAAGCAGAGGGATTATTCATGTTTGAGACTTTCGAATTTGAACCAAACAATTATGTTTTTGGAAATTTTCAACTAACGATTTTGTTGGCACAAACAAGACTTGTTTGACAACTTGTTTGTTTTTCTCTCAGTGTAGTCGTCCTCACCACATCATTCATTTGTAATGCACACTGTGACCAATTTTCAGCTATCTTATACGAAGCCTCTACTGTATTTACGAATCAACTATCTTCGCTTGTTACGCACAGCAATGCACAAAAAACGATTCGTAAAACTTATGCGTAGAAATTTCGAAGTTGCGAAATGTACATAACAGCCCAAATTGAGTGTAAAGTATCGGTTTAGAGAATTACTTTCAATTAAACATAACGAAATTAACTGACGGAACAGTCCAACAATCCATTTTTCCATTCTATTAATTCTCCTTTGATCTTATCAGAAATTTTGTTAGTTGATTATGTTGTACCTGAGAAGAAAATCCACTATGAAATCCGAATAACAATTGCGGAGTGATGAAAACAATATTTTTGTAGAAGAAATACTGCGTTAAAATACTGAGTCTAATGTAGTACCAGTGTCCATGGACGAGAAGTGCTTTGCGAAGATGCATGAACTTTGAAAATGCAAAGTCCGCACTCATTGTAGCTTGTCTGCCCTCCTTTCCCATAATTCCGAGGCCCACGTGGGCTTCTTGGATCATAGAAACATCGTTTCCTCCGTCACCGATAGCTGCGGTGAGGGGATGTTTCTTTGCGTTCTTAACCAAATGAACAATCTAAAAATTGATTATTTGTTAAGCTCTGACTTTTACTCTGTCTTTTACACTCTTCTTTAAAAGCTGAAGGACATCCAAGTATCTTTTACAGTTTGGGACAGGCCACACTATCGAATCAATCATTTCAATCACCACAATTATCAATTAAATTGCGTGAGAAAAATTTGAAAAAAAAATCATGAATATTCGGCGTCATACAAGTCTCATTTCGCACACAATTATTATTTTTTAAACATTTGTTGTTTATAAATAAATAATTGAAATTGTTTAAACTTTTGGAAGCCTTATTTTTTTAGTATGAAATCGATTTTTGGTAAAATTCTGAATATGAATAAATTTGTTGCGATTCCGAAAATTCATTGTTTATAAATTATTTACAGCAAATGCTCGTAATTTTGGAAAATTGCAATTTGTTTATTATTTCGTCAATCTTCTTCCTCTAAAAGTAAACTTTCTAATTTTTTTTCTGATTTTTAAAATGTTTTCTAACGGCTCAATATCGAGATTCAAATTCAGACCTGCAAAGGTCTAAAGAATGAAATCATTGTAAATTGTCCGGAAACTTAGGGTCAAATGGAGCTCAAATGAAAGCTCTGATGTTCGATTACCAAAGTCGAAAAGCATTTCACTAGGGAAAAACTAGCCAAAGACTTGGATATCCTTAACCCTCGATCCCTCGCGCTTGGCCGCCAGTCTTCATCCATCGCACGGTTAGCGAAACGCCGTTGGGTTAACCCTAGATTGGTCACCCTATGAGGGAAACCCCGCCCTCGTTTTCCTTTAATTCCAATTGACTGGTTAACCGGAAAAATTCAAAAAAAATTGACTTTGTCAATTGAAGGGTCCAAAAAATTACAGTTGTTTTTAGAACAACATATTTCCCAAAATTCCCAATGAAAACAAATTATTTCGGACAGATGCATTATTTTTTCCCACTTTGAATGAAATTGCCTATCCGAGTTCAAATCCCGGCCGGGTAGAATGGTGCGATCTAACCATTTAAAGTCTTGATCATCATCGCAGTATACCCTAACCGGGTCGAAGCGGTGTAAAATAACGATAAAAAAAAAAGAAATTGGCTATGACGCGACGTTGCCGGAAATTCGCTAAACGAGCCCGGGCATAGTGTACAGTGAATTCACGGAGAGAAATTTTCTAAAAAAATTCTAGTACGAGTACTGGAAAAAATCACAATCCAACGGCTGTGAAAAATTCTAGTGCTGTTCAGGTAAAATTTCTTGGTATTTCTGGTAAAATTTCTAGGGATTTCTGTGAAATTTTCACAGAAATACAGGGAAAAATTCAAGTTTTCCCCAACAAATTTTCTAGTGCCGGCACTGGAATTTCTCCCTGGCCGTCACTTTGCGCCTCTTTTCCCGTGCTAGCACTAGAATTTTTCTAAAAAATTTCTCTCCGTGTTCGGTAATGCTAAAGCCTGAATAACACGGCGGCGAAGCCCCGCAGCAGTGACTAGCGTTGGGCATCTGTCGATGACCGCAGTTTTTTACATGACATTATAAAAAACGCGTAATTTACGTAATAAATGTAAAAAATGTAAAAAACCAGCCGACGTTACCTTTTATCGTAAACCGCGAAGCTTCGCGAAGATTATACCTCGCAAGGATGATAAATCACGAGGGTCTCACCACTACTCGAGTCAGGAAATAGTTTTATCGCCGTGTGGCATACAATATTTTATGTCTCTGAGCCCGAAAACCGCGATTTAACCGAGAAAATCGATGTTAGAATCGCAGTTTTACAATCTTAGGGACATAAAATGATATTTTATGCCTCAAGTACAAAGAACCGCGTTCTAACCGAACAAATTGAAATTACAATTCGCTGTTTATCTGTCCTCGGGCCATAATATACTATTTTTTATGTGTCCAATACTGCGTCTTCGTCACTGGGAATAAAATAAAACATTCTAGTAATCGAAAATTGCAAGCTTTTCGAAGGAATGTAAAAAATGTAAAAAATCCGTCGAGGTAATTTACGTAAATTACGTCGGTAAAAAACGGTGTAATGTACCAACGTAATTTACACCCCAACCCTGGCAGTGACCACTCGCAGGATCGCGTTTGGTGACCAGACTAGGGTTAAACCAAGCGCGCTGTTGCCACGTTGACGCTCACCGCCATACGCGCATTTCAAGTGTGGCAGTGAATGCAGCAACACTGTCGCTCGAGCGATCGAGAGGGACTGACTAACACCGTACGGTACGGCTATTCTATTTCTGTTCTGACTTCTCTTTTTTCTCTTTAGCTAAACAAATTTCCCGAAAAAAACGGACAACGCCAACGTTTAACAAAACGATTGAACTAGGAACTCTAATTTTCTCAGAATTTTTAAGCGGCGAGAACCACGGGAAAATATAAAAAAACGGGCGGCGCCGCGCTCACTGAGCGAGTGATCGAGGGTTAAATATTACTAGAAGATTTTTTCCATAGAATTACTTCGGATTTCTGAAGTGGAGACATTCTGCAGCAGACGACAGCATCACAGGACATTGCAACGATTCTCAATAACTCTGGACAATGTTTCATTGCAATTGTTAGACTAGATCCATCCATTAACAGGCCATACTGCTTACAAGGTTCTAATTTCAGTCTTCGTCTAGGAGAAAAAGGCGTAAAGGGAGGTGATGGAAAGTTTCGAGTGGAGATCGTTATCATTTAGTTAATTTTTAAATATCTCAGCCATGCGGTGTGTCAGGGGAAATACTGACTTTTTCAGTCGAACATTCATTTTATCACTTTATCAGCCGCAAAAATGGCGTTACGGCAGTATTTTTCTCTGCTCATTATCTAGATAATCATTCATTTCCAATTAATTCGTGGAACTTACTCGAAACTCGTCAACGTAATGAAACAAAGTTGGATTGTCATCTTGCCCATCAGTTTTAAGACATCAGTTCCACTCTTGAAATGTCCACAGGAGAAGGCAATGTTCTCTGCAGTCTCTGCTTTATCTCCTGTTAAAACCCAAACCTAACAAAAAAACAAAAGTAGAGTGAATCTTAATGTTCGTGAAGAAATCTGAATTATTTGAACGAATTCCAAAACGTTGTTCACGTGTAGGTATGTACGGGTCCTTCGGTTCCACGACTTTTCTTCCCCGACACTTTTTCCCCGATATTTTTTCCCAGACATTTCTTCCAATTGCCATTTCTTCCCCGACAGATTTTCCTAAAACAAACTGTTTCCTCTTTTTCCCATCGATACCTGAAACTTGTTGAAACTGTCATAGTTGAATGCTTTCAGTCATCAGTCAGGTCCGATAGCCGAAGATTATCCCCTCTCATTAAAAAAATCAATACAGACTCGAAAATCAATAAACGACCGGGTTATCGTAATTCGGTCGAGGCTTACAAAAGAAGGATAATCTCCACTTATCATTACAATCAACAATTGTTTTGACCAAATGTACGTCAAAATATACAAATTGAATCAGAAAATTAGAAAGGAAAAAAGTTGGGGAAAAAGTGACGTGGAAAAAGTAGCATAGGAAAAATTGACGCGAGGAAAATAAGACGGGCCCCCGGGTCCTTCCGTCTGATATCATCCGGCATTGATAAATTAGAAAAAAAATGAAATAAATTAAGGTCTTTAATATTCACGCACCGTTGGTCGCGCAAATTTACGAACGCCGTGAGCAGTGTAGAAGCACAAAATGTGAATATTACGAGGGGCTACTCACTCCATAATTGAGTGATACTATGATTTCGAAATGCAGTCGATTTCAGAGATTTCAGTGATTTCGGAAAAAAATGATTTCGGCGATTTGGAGCGTCACGTGCGGTGATTTCATGATTTCATTAATTCGAAATCAGTGATTTCAGAAAAATAAAGTTAATAAATAATAGAGGTGGGGTAAAACTGGTTGTTTCAAATTATGAAAATCAAAACTGGCAACAATAACTGGCAAATAATAGTGAATTCGTTTGATTCTACTTCGCCAATCTTGATCTAATGACGATGAAAAGCGGTCCATTTTACCATTTTACTATGACAGTAAGTACACTGATAGAACGGCTTAGTCGAACCAAACGAGGCTTTTTAACTATTACCACGCTTCGTTAACTATTAATGAATCGCGGTAACAGGTAAGAAGCCTCGTTTGGTGCAACTGAATCGTTCCACCTTTTCTATATCAGTGAGCGGCATTTTCCTGTCAGCGTTGGCAGGCGTGTCAATTTGAAAATCACAAATTGCTTGCACGGTTCGCACTACGCCGGTGCGCCACTGATTTCGATGATTTCACATGATTTCGAAGTGATTTCAAAATGATTTCACGCCAAAGTGGCGCCGTGATTTCAGGAGTGAGTGGCCCCTCGATATATGATCTAAATTCAACTCGTTGTCTACCTTGATTCCTGCTACTCTTAAAGACTCTAGAGTCTCCTCCACTCCCTCTTGCAGTCGATCCTCAACCCCTGTGACCCCAAGCAATGTTAAATTATTCTCAATCAAATGATAAGCCTTGTTTATTCCCTGAGCACGTTCAGTTCCAATCACTTGTTTCGCCTGCTCAACTGCTCTCGAAAATTTATCGTATTCTGCGATAGTGAGTTTCCTGTAGGCAACGACAAGTGTCCTGAGTCCTCTCTGCAGAAAAAGAAAATGTTCCAGTTAATAATTCAGTAGCGAAGTGGTAAAACGGTGTAAGTCGATTTTGACTATTGGACAGTTTTTAGTGAATGTCTCGGAATCTAAGGGAGATAGCTCAATTCTTGTCAGAACCTTTTTTATAGCACTCAATTAGCTCTAGAAAAAAGGTTATTACGAAAATTTCATTATCTGCTTTAGATTCGGAGATATTCTTAAAAAACTCAGCTAAGAGATAAGTCGACTTAAATCGTTTTACCACTTCGCTATTGAATTATCTTTAACAACACGACAAGTTCATGCCGTTATATAATTTCGTGAATATTCTCAGAACGAAGGGGCTTGAGAAAATTCATCAAAAGACTTTTTTAGAGGAAATTCAGAGGGGAATCTGTATTCTTCACTCATTTTTTCGACCTTATCACTGGGAAATACAATTGAATATTGCTATTGACCTTGGAGAAATCTGCCAAGTGGGTTTCAGCCTCTGTGACCTTCCCTTCAGCAATCAGTGACAGCATCTCTGTATCTGCTCCTTTGCTGTACAACCAAAGATCTCCAACCGAATCTTCTACAATTACTGACATTCTTTTTCTGTCTGCAATACGAAAACCCAAATGAATTGGATATCACAATTTTTTATTTTGAATGAACTGTTTGATGACCCTTACCTGAAGTAAATTCTAACGTTTCTAACTTTGTAAAGAAAAGAATCTTTTCTCCAATTTTGAGCTCCATTTCGTCTCCACTGTATTTAGTTAATACAACACCACATCTTGCTGAGGCTTCAACAAGGGCTTTTTCGTCAGCTGAAGCGGCCTAAATTCATTCAAAAAAATAGAAACGGTCAAGGAGTTTCCGAGATACAGCAATTTTTCAAAAATGTTTTTTTTCTGAATATCTCGAAAATTACGTGACTGAATTGTTTTTTTACGTCAAAATATTCTTTGCAATAATATCTATTAAATCAAATCATCATGTATGTTATTAGAGCTATAATCAAACCAAATTTCAAATTGCTAGTTCCATTTTTCTTAATTTATCGTGCGCAAAAGAATGAAAAAACTGTTTCTCGGAACGTTTGATCTTCTAAAATTGAGAATTAAGTATCGGTTTTATCCAGTAAGACAGGAATATCTATACGACTCTGTAAATATCCTAGGATTGAAGAGGTTTGTAAAAATTCGTCACAAGAGCCTTTCTGTTGTTATGACTTCCTTTTTTCAATCCCTCCCATTCTCAGATCTCTGCGAGATGATTCGTAATTCACTTTGGACTGATCTTTTTTGCCACTTTATTTCTTCACCTGATATTCTGGTAATGCTGGGTCCATCAACAGAGAACTATTGACCCTAGTAATTGACCTCTGCCTGAAGCTCTCTCGAAACGCTGTTCGTTTTGCTGCTATGCTCTTCATAAGAACCGGAGGAGCGACGTGAACGGAATGGCAGAGCGAGAGCGCAATCATGAAGTGCCAAATTTCAGCCTAAAAGGAAAACAAGTGGGAAATTGCTCTCGCATTGCATATAGTGTAGTGATTTTTACTAATAATTTAGCAACACGTTTCCAAATGGTTATTTGCACGTCATTACCTTCTATCATGTATAATTCATTGTTTATTTCATTTTATTAAATTGAATAAGATGTCTTTTTGACTAATTTTGTCAGATCTTCAACTTAGATGTTATCATCATCATTATTCTTATTATCGGTTTGTTCTACACAACAGATTGTCTTTTTAAGTTCTATCTCTCCGCTTAACCCTTCGATAAAATGTTAATAGAAAAATTTCATTCATGCATACTTGAATGAATTTGAAATATAACATTTGAAGAAACCATCAGAAAGCTCACTTTCAGGGAAATTCATGAAAAACTCGAAATCTTCAACGATCTTTCTAGTGACATAACAGGAGGAGGGGGCAAACACTGACGACAAAATTGAATTGAAAAACCTATCGAATTCGTTAGAAAATTCTATTGAATTTCTATTGAACTGTTCTATTATTTTTTGGCCGATTCTATTGAAATGTTCAATAGAAAATATTCAGTAGAAAAAGTCAATAGAATTCAATTTTTCTATATAACTTATTCTATTGAAATATTTTCTATAGAATTTCCTCGGCTCAAATTTTCTAAGTTTTTTCGTTTGATTTTCTTGATGAGAAGAAAAGAAAAATAGAATGAAAAAAACTTAGAAAATTCGAGTCGAGCAAATTCGATAGAAAATATATGAAAAGAGTAAGTTATATAGAAAAATCGAATTCTGTTGACTTTTTCTATTGAATGTTTTCTATTAAACATGTCAATAGAATCAGCCAAAAACTAATAGAAAGTTTAATAGAAATGCAATAGAATTTTCTAACGAATTCGATAGGTTTTTCTATTAAATTTTTTCGTGCGTGAACAGAATTACATTTTCCATGAAAATTCCGGGTAATTCTTATGGGAAAAAACAGGGCTCTTATAGGGGGGAGGGGGGGGCGTTTTAGAATTGAGATAGAGAGCCCTGACGGTCACCCGTACACACATCGGGGAGGATGGGGTAAAATGGACAGTAGACTTTTAAAAAATTATTCGTAACTCGGAAACGAATTTATCATTTGAGCTCAGTTTAGGCTCGTCACAAAGAGAAATAGAATGTACTTGTTCTTTGTATTGAAAAAAAAAATTATTAAAATTTATCAATATTTCCACCCCTCATTAACATTTAAAAAAAGTCAAAAGTGTCCGTTTTACCCCAACCTCCCCTACACATACGCGTACGAATGAGGTCTAAAAATGGCATTTTCGGACTTTTTGGATCATACTGATTCGATATAATAAAAAATCAAAAAAATACGGACATTGATACAAAAGCACTTGTGCAACTGGATATCGTTTCCGTTTTATTGAAAACTTACGGGCCAAGTCTGAATTTTCCCAGCTTCTCTATCATCTCCATTCTCAGGAATTAAATACAGTTTCCCGTTGCAGTCCTTCTCTAGATACATCTTCCCATCTATCGAGCATCGCCTGAAGACCATCAAGTTCTCAGTGAGAGTTCCGGTCTTATCAGTAAAGAGGTATTCCACTTGTCCGAGCTCTTCATTCAAATCTGATGTATTTACTAGTGGATAGAGATCTTCTCTTTCGTCGTACATCTCGTTGTCCCATCGGAAAAAGTAGGAGCCCAGAAATTTTTGTAGTTCTGCAGTTTTTCAAATTGATTATAACCATCAATTCGTCATCAATGCTTTGCAGGCGTATTTAAAGCGTATTTAGCGATATTCACATACGCATTGGAGATATTCAAGAATTCGACTTTGATTAAATATTACACTGTTAGAAAACAATTGAAATTTCCTGGACAGTTTATTAGTAATCTTCAGTAGAACGATGTTGAATTCGATTTAGCGGGGAAACAATCATAAAATTTTAAATTTCACTGGGAATGAAATTTGTAATACCGTCAAGACTAGTCGAGACTTATTTTGAAGAGATCATCACGGTCTGGAAAAACACGAACGTTTTGAAATCGTCGCAATCTTGAAAGACATTGAATCGGTGCATCCGTCACAATTCCGGGAGGATTTATCTTGCCTGGATCTCGAGATTTTCGGTTTTTTAATTTCTCGAGACGAGACGAGACAGATATCGAGACAAACATTTGAGAAACCGAAATAGAATGACAAAATTTAGAAAATTTGAGTCCCGCAAATTCTATGGAAAATATATGAAAAGAATAAGTTATATAGAAAAATCGAATTCTGTTGACGTTTTCTATTGAATGTTTTCTATTAAATATGTCAATAGAATCAGCCAAAAACTAATAGAAATTTTAATAGAAATTCAATAGAATTTTCTAACGAATTCGATAGGCTTTTCTATTAAATTTTTTCGTGCGTGATAACTGAAACTTTACTAACTGTAACTTTTTCAGGTAAATGGATACTTGCCAATAGTCACATAGAGAGATATAGGTATCAGGTAATTGTACAGCACTGTAAAAGTGAGGATATCATTCAGCAGCTTGGAGAAATTCACCAATTCGGATTCGCCAAGATAATCATCCCACTCTTGATTGACTGCGATGAATTCCTTGAAAAGTGTTGAGGCCAAGATCTCAAAGACCATCACGAAGATGAAGAAAATTAGATAATTATTGATAGTTCTGAGGAAAATAAAAGAAAAAAAAGTACATTTGAGTACGAGAGCACAAATTTCGCCTTCGGCTCGGCCTGTAAACTTCACATTCGTTGAAAATGGAGTTTATGCCCAAGTGATTTATAATATTGTATGTCACACCGGGCAGAAATCGAGTTTGAAGATAGGACCGATGAACTCGCTTTATTGTACGGCGAGACATAAGATTTAGGAAGAAAGTAGTAGAGGTAGTGGTTTGGGCGGGCATGATTCATTTCGATCCCTAATGGATGAGTTGTTTCGGTAATAATTGTAATTCTAATCCAGTAGCGAAGCGGTAAGCCGGGTTAAGTCGGTTTTGACATTTGGTCAGTTTTTGATTAATATCTCGGAATCTAAGAGAGATAGCTAAATATTTCTCATGACCTTTTTTATACCCCTCAATCGTCTCTACAAAAAAGGTTGTGACAAAAATTTTCTCATCTCTTTTAGATTCCGAGATATTCATTAAAAACTGGCCAGTAGTCAAAATCGACTTAATCCGGTTTACCGCTTCGCTACTGAATCAAACTATGTATAAAAAATTGAATTTCAATTGATGTCAATAAATAAAGATTATTAAAGTCTATATTGATGAAAAAATTCATGAAATTCGATTCATCCCTTATAAGAAAATTTCGAGAAAAAAATGAAGAAAAAACACCACATATATACATTCATAGAGACAGCATCTATAAATCGCATATTCGGACTATATACACTGAGAGAAAAATCTGAAGTTCGATTTACAATAAGAAAATAGTTGAGGCATTTTGGTGAACGATACGATTTTTTTTGAATGCGGCACATAACATTATAGTAATTTCACAAGCGTAATTTTTGCTAATCAAAATGCAGTTAAACTAACCAAAGTTCAAAAGTAACCACGACAAATCTATCGTGAGGAGAACTATAAAATAGTTGCAATGACTACATTCCATTGTAGTAATTACTTCTCCGGCCATAGTTACCGTAACCCATGAAAAATTGTTGAGGACTTTTTGACTATAATTCGATGGCGATGGAATGTAGTCAGAAGAATTATATTTTTCTCTCGGTGAAGAGCATATGTGGACGTCCATATAAAAAGAGGCCATTTGATATTTCCGTTTTTGTGTCAGCAACTCCGATTTGCACCAATGTTAAATTGTCGTTTCCATCTTCCCCAACGACGTCATTTTTGACCCCATGAAGCACCTTTTGGGCTCAAAATGTGCGGAATGTTATCAATATTATCAGAGTATACATAACACCATATCGACAAAGTGGTCCCTTTTCATGCGGACGTCCACATATTTAGTACCTCAAAAATGAATGACTGAGATGAGAAGATATAATTTTCCACTCACTTTTCCACAGTAGAAAATTTATGCGAATTATTCTTTGAATTCCGCGATAATTTGGTATCTCTCCCAGTATAGACAGCTGTCCCAATCACGAAGTCAGTGTCCTTCAGCCTTGATCCTCGAAGGAGGACATTATCAATCGTCAAAGATCCGGTGATGAACTCATCCTCACTGAACTTTGCCTCCATGTTCCCGAAAAATTCGTACAAGTTTGGGAGTGGGTGTTGACAAGTCACCGTGGCATCCATCACTATCACTTCCTCCAGAGATTTTTGGAGGGTCAACTTGGGAACTTGAATCGTCTGTGCAAAAATAAAATAGTGAATGGAATTTTGAAACGAATGATTTCCTCACGAGTTTTCCATCGATGGTGTGATATCGTCACCATAGAATCGAAAAGGCATAGATACTATTCTATGAATTCCACCAGGACTTCATTTTTTCGAGAGATAAATAAGTTACATTCTCGTTATTCGAAAAGAAAACATGAAACATATCCCATTAATCATCACGTAAAATTACGATTAAAAGTTTTTAATCGCGGTTATTTATTTTATATGATACGTGCGTGACTTAATTCATCCTTATAATAATTCCATAGTTCCAATTGTAATTATTCCTGTAGACATTTGCCTCACTTTTAAATTAGTTTCCCCATCTAAATTAGACGTTGTGACGTAACAACAGCCATTGGATTCACTACTGTGGAGTAAAATAAGATCACATGGTACTTCTTCATCTCTGGAAACTTTGACGAAGTCACCAACAACGATTTGCTCGCAATGGATCACCTGAAAAAAGCCTCAATTGAGAATTGTATATTGTGTCACTAGTGCGTAAAGTTCCACTTTTTCACACGCACGTGTACATTCTATTTTTTGTGGTACCTGCCGAGTTCACTGTTCGGAACGGTAGTGCATGGAGCAAAAAATTCCCGAAAAATTACTCCAGCACCGGAATTTCTGCCGCATGGAGAGAAATATTCAATAAAAATTACCAGAAAAAAGACGTGAAAATTACGTTTCGAAACGTAATCTGGGAGCGAGGTAAATTCAATAAAAAGTGTCAATCGTCACGTAAATTCTACGATCTGTTCTGTAAAAATTACTCATCCGTCCGACGCCTCACGGCTAGCCATGAGTCACCACTTTTCGTAAAATTTCTTAAACATCCAAGAATTTTCATGTTCTGAGGCATAATAAGTCTTGAAGTTTCTGTTAGATTTTACAACTTCCAGAAAAATTACGTGACTTTTTTGTATTTTTTCGGTGACAGACCCGAAAATTTACTGAACGTTTCAGATTTATTCTCTTATATTCCTATAGAAATTCACTGAAAACGTGAAATGTTCCGTAATTTTTCTTGAATATTTTTCTCTCCGCGCGTCCGTTACAGGAATTTTTCTCGGATTTACCGTGAAAAATTCTTGTACTCCACAGCAAGTTTTTCGGTGCTGGCACGGTAGTTTTTCCGAGTCCGTCCAAACGAACCCTTTTTACCGCGCTGGCACAGAAATTTTTCTGGAATTGTTTTCTCCGTGTTGGGGTAATGTGGTTGTTTTGTGCACGCGCGTGAACTTCATGCACGCCATGCGGAAAACAACTGCTTTGCGCATACTAAACCGTTTCGAAAAGTGCACTTTTGAGGCAGCTATCACAAAAAATTAATAACAGAAGCAGTGTCAGAATTAATGGATCGATTAGTTGGTATAATTGACCTACTTGAACGCATTTATTCCTAATTACTGTAACTGGAGTGCAATTGACGCGATCATCCGAGCGATTCCGCTGGAAGTCCTCGTAGCCCTGCTTACCAGCTGTTACGACAATAACGAAGAGGAGAGGCAGAAAGGTCGTTAGGGGGGAGACTGGTGACTCTATTGATACAGCAATTATCGCAGATACGAGGAAATAGAAATTCGCTACCCTCCGGAACTGCTCGAAAAGATTCTTCGGTATGAAATTCCAAACTGTATACTGAAGAAGAGGACAAAATTATGAAAACCGAAGAAAATTAAGGAGAAACAATCAATAGAAAACACAAACGAATGTCAATGATATTTGTAAATTCCATGATTTCTCCAAATACAGCGATTTTTGGAAGAAATCAACAGGACAGAAAAGTCACTGCTGGGGATTTTCACTCAATTGCGTAAACGTAAAATTTTCCTTCCTGTGGTTCACTTTTTGATACGAAATTGTTGTATAACTCCCGTTCCTCACCTTATTCGATTTAATTCTATTCCGTGGATATATTGTGGCTGATGGATCATTATTGGGATGAATTGTGAAGACTCTGTGCTCTGCGAGAACCGACGCATTGCTACCCTGAAAATAAAAAATAAAAAAATAAAAATTCGCAATCAATGCTGCAGGGGTGCGGTGAAGGAGAGAGAATAAATTCCGAATATATCTTACACATCCCACAATTTGTCATCCCTCATGAAATGAGGGAAAGTCATTTGAAATAGGCAGTGATTGCTTTCGGAGTCAGACACGCATGAAAAAATGTAATAGAAGAAGCTAGCGAATTCGTTGGAAAATTCTATTGGCTTTTATTGAACTATTTATTAGTTTTAGGCCGATTCTATTGAAATCTTCAGTAGAAAATATTCAATAGAATGTGATTTTTCTGTATAACTTATTCTCTTCAGATATTTTCTACAGAATTTCCTCGGCTCAAATTTTCCAAGTTTTTTTCATTCTTTTTTCTTTACTCCTCACAAAGAAAATCACATAAAAAAACTTGGAAAATTTGAGCCGAGGATATTCTACAGAAAATATCTTAATAGAAGAAGTTGTATAGAAAAATCGAATTCTATTGACCTTTTCTACTGAATTTTTATATTGAACATTTCAATAGAATCGGCCAAAAAATATTAGAAAGGTTAATAGGAATCCAATAGAATTTTCTAACGAATTCGCTAGGTTTTTCTGTTAAACTTTTTTTTCCTTGAAAACTTTATGAAATTAGATTATGAAGATAAATCCAGTTCTTGCCCGGTGGCTTGGCGCAGTGGGTAAGTTCGTTGCCTCATATGCGAAAGGTTCCGAGTTCAAATCCCGGCCGGGTAGAATGGTGCGATCTAACCATTTAAAGTTTTGATCATCATCGCAGTATACCCTAACCGGGTCGAAGCGATGTAAAATAACGATAAAAAAAAAAATCCAGTTCTATGATGACTTTTACCAGCAAGTGTGAATGTCACTTATGGCTTTTTTCCTGACAGATTAATGGTCTTCCTATAGTTGAAAACGGTAAATGCATTGTAAAAAAAATTTCAATAAAATTTATTCTGTTTTCGAGATAGTTTTCATATTTTTCAATGACGAATAGATAAATTCAGCACTAAAAATACTACAGAATACCGTGTCTAGGGAAATTTCAATCTATTCGTATCCATCGGATTGTTCTGTAGAAAAACTGCTGCAGAATCACCAACAGAAGACAATAAAAAAAAGTACAAGAATTTCTCACAGGATTCCAAAAGAATTCCTCTCGCAATGGTCCTAGGATTTTGTATTAACTTTTTTCAAAGGTGTCCATGAAAAAAAAGTCAATTCTTTCTCCGATTTTTCCCTCCAAAATTTTATAAAATTACGAAACAAATTTCTTGTATTCGATTATTTACCAATGAACTGAATTCAGTTGACAGACGGAACGTCAAAATTTCACGTGAGATGAGAATTTAATTCAGAAAAAAAATATCCCGCTAATGGAGAAATGTTGGGGATTCTACGACGATGGGAGAGCGGAAAACTCTTCAGATCCTGCATACATCGATATGTACGATGGAAACGAGGGGCGGACTCATTTCTCAATCCCAATAACAGTCAGTACATTGAGGGGATGTACAATTCTTGGCTGAGGGACCCTAGCTCAGTGGGGGAGTCTTGGGCAAGGTATTTCGAAGCCACCGGGTCTCCACCGAGGCCAAAAGCATCCTCTGGGGTATCAGCATCTGCTAACCCTTCTAGTATGCCTTCAGCGCAAATGTCAGGTATATTATTCCACTTTCTCCCATTTCCACTTCGAAATTTAAGTCGGCGAAGGACTAGAGATGCAAATGCCTCACATGACCCGTCAAATGACGGTCATGTAACCGTCATCGACAATCATATCGTGTGCTAAATGGAAAAAGGTCGTTTTGACCATTTTGACATTTTTAAGGCAACGAAGTGGAAAAATGGAGAGGTTGTATAAACCTAATCTAGGGAACATGAAATTTGTATATCTGCACGGAGAGAAATATTCAATAAAAATTACGTATCTTTTCCGTAATTCCGGAGCGAAATGTGGTTGTAGGAAATTTTACGGAACTGTCACAGAATTTTTCCGGAGCGTTTCGTAATTTTTATGTGAATCTCCTGTGAAAAATTACGATACCATCACTTAAATTTTCTGAGTTGATTCCATAATCGGTGAATGAATTATGAGTTCCGTAATTTTTACTAAACATTTCTCTCCGTGTAGAAGGGTCATGAGAGGCTACACGGACGAAAAAATTTAATAGAAAAACCTGTCGAATTCGTTAGCAAATTCTATTGAATTTCTATTGAACTGTTCTATTAGCTAACTGTTCTATTAGTTTTTGGCCGATTCTATTGAAATGTTCAATAGAAAATATTCCGTAGAAAAAGTTAATAGAATTCAATTTTTCTAATAACTGATTCTACCGAGATATTTTCTATAGAATTTCCTCGGCTCAAATATTTCGTTTGATTTTCTTGATGAGAAAAACAAAAATGGAATGAAAAAAAATTGGAAAATTTGAGTCGAGCAAATTCTATAGAAACTGTATGAGAAGAATAAGTTATATAGAAATAGCGAATTCTGTTGACTTTTTCTATTGAATGTTTTCTATTGAACATGTCAGTAGAATCAGCCAAAAACAAATAGATAGTTTAATAGAAATTGAATAGAATTTTCTAACGAAGTCGATAGGTTTTTCTATTGAATTTTGATGGGAATCAAACGGGGGTTGGCGAGCGGAGCGAGCAGGGGGTGTAGCCCCCTAGTTCCTTGAAAATATCAGTCACTAATAATCACTTCAATCATCAATTTTCTCACAATCAGAAATCAAAAGTTCATCTGGAGACCCCACAGAGGCGACCCTGGACATCGATGCAACGATTCGAGCTTATCAAGTTGGAAAAACCATTTTTTTAAATAAAGACTATTGATTCTAATGAGGAAAATTATTCCTTCAGGCTCGTGGACACCTAATAGCTGACACAGACCCCCTAGGCATCCAAAACCCTGACTCTGCGAAGCTCCAAGGAACCCCAAATCTACCACCAGCTGTGGTGGTTCGCCAACACTTGAAGGGAATGACTGACATCGATTTAGATCGAGAATTTTCGTTGGGGTCTCTGACTGTTATTGGAGGAGATAAGAAACGTCTTCCACTCAGGGAGATTTTAATGAGACTGAATAAAGTCTACTGCGGACATTTGGGGCTGGAATACACATTCATTCCAGACTTTGAACAAGTATGGATAATTCCATATAATTTTTCGGCATAAGTAGTATAAATATGATGGAAAATTGTTTAAGAGGAGAATATAAGTTTGAAAACAGCGCATAATCCGTGATATCTGTGAATATCTCAAGATTGAGCGGGCCCCGGGAAAATTTATTAACCCTAGTTTGGTCACCATATGAGAACTTGCGACTTTGGTCACCTCCGCAGGGAATCGCCGCCGTGTTATTTAGGCCCGAGCGTTGCCGAATTCACTCTATACTGCCCGGACGCATTTAGCGAGACTTCGGCAACGTCGCACAACGGGCAATTTCATTTAACACGGGAAAAAATTGCCCGTCTGTTAGAAATAATTTTTTTTCTTCAGGAATTGTGGATATAAATAATTTTAAAAAATATTATAATTTTCTAGACACTTGAATTGACGCATCCCAATTTTTTAGGATTTTTCCGCTCAGCCAGTTAATGGTAAGAAAAAAAAATCGATCTTCTGCGGCGTTTCCCTCCTATGGTGACCAAACTAGGGTTAAAGTAGCTCTACCCTTACGGTAAATACAAAGATGATGGAAAACTGCAAAAAACTTCCAGAGAACTCGATTAGATTTGGAATCCTAATTTTATTCTTAATTTAATTATTATTTTGGTTTTTCTAAAGGAAGTGTTCAAAAATCAGGATTTAACCCGGTGTCTTATGCGAAAATCAACATTTCCATTGTAATCAAAGATTAAAATCAGAATTTTTTTTCATTAGATGTGTTTTTTAACACCTTCTAAAAAATGATGGACCGTTTTGCAAACAAGTTTTATTATTCATTTATAAGAAGGAAATGTTTGAAAAAATATTAATATTTTGTGAAATTTAATTTAGATAAAATTGGATAAAAATGGATAAAATTTTTTCAAATTTTTTCCATGCAATTTAGTTGAAAAATCCGCAAACTGAAAATATCCAAAAGTGCAGCGTAGTCCGGACGAAGGATAGAGCTACTTTGAAAGATTATTCTTCATCAACACAATGTTCTACAAAAAAGCCTTTGGAGGAATCCTTCCAAAGATACTCATGCCGAAAATGTGTGCAAATACTTATGATTGATGATAAATATTATGATTAATATACTATTAAAATATCGAATTCGAGTGCAGTTGGAGTGGTTAAGACACAAATTTGAGATTCCGGGGGCTTGGGAGTTACCCGCAGACCAGAGAAAAGGAATTTGGTTGAATGTGATGAGAGCAGTGACGTTCGAGGAGTTTTTAGCCAAAAAATATTTGACGGAGAAGAGATTTGGTCTCGAAGGTTGCGAGGCGTTTATTCCCGCACTGGTAGAGTGCTTCGAGACATCTGCAGAGCTAGGTAAAATGTCATCCCGGTGATAAATTCGAATACACAATTATTTTAAATAAAAATTGGTAGGCGGAAAAAATGACCGGTCATTTTGTCGGTTCCCACACCCAACGAGTGTTACTACCCATCGGCTATTTTTTCCTTCGGCTATTTTTTCGTATATTCATCAAAATTACACCCAAAAAAGTACCGATTCAAGTCGACGTCGGCTTGATTCTAGTCCATTTTCGACTTGATTCAAGTAGAGTGACTAGGACTACGCCGATCCGGATTCCGGGCCCGATATGAGTCAAAAAGTCAGGTATTTCAAGAAGGAACTTGTCAAGCCGATATCGGTTTGAATCAAGCCGAAAAATCGGGTTGAATCAGGTCGAAAAATCGACTTAAATCAAGACGCTTTAATTTAAACCGAAAAAACCGACTTGAATCAAGCCGCTATCTACCTACTACCTCGAACAGACAGAATTTCAACGTGAATCACTCCATTTTTCGGTTTGATT